CTCTTCCCGAGCACGTTGACACCTCGTTCACACACTCTGCAGCTTGACGGGCAAATAGGAGTTCTTATCACAGGGGGTACACAGGGAACAGGCAGGACCAACAGCCCCAGAGCGGCGGCTGTAGGCACCAACCTGACTGACTCCATTTATCCTTGCAGAGATGCCACTAACAGGGCCCAGGGAGGGGATCAGATCTATGAAGTCAGCCCCTCTGAACTACACTAACCATCAGGCTGTGCTTTCAGCTAACCACACCTGGTGGGTTTCACACTTCATCATAGTGTGCACCCTGAAATTCCTCTTTTCCCTGAGTAACTCCTGATGCAGCAATACAAGCAAACCTGAACTGCGCACTGGTCTGCACAGCTGGACACTGCAAGAGTCTATGATAAAGGACTGAATAAGTGACAGCGCCTTTTATAAAGAAAAAACCACTTTGATTTCTAAGTTCCTGTACCCAAAATCATTCACCTGCCAGTTTCATACCTGTTATCTTCTCCAGTAAGGAAACATCCTGAACTTCCTGAGGCAGGGAGGCAATTTTCTGCCGCACGGTGGCATCTCCCGACGCTGCGTTTTCCAGGTCTTGCAGGGCTTTGATCAAGTCCTCGGTCTAGGAGACAAGTTGACCAACATGAAAACCAGGAGCCGCTGACACCGCTCCCTGGGGATGTGGCCACTGCATCTGAGGTCACCTACCTCTGAGAGCAACCACTTTTGGAATAGTTAGTTCGAGTAACTTTGAAACTGTTGCTTCCAAACACTGGGAGAATTCTCCAAGTTCACAACACTCCAGTGCTTAGGAACTTACGTGGAATTACAGTAGGATCATCTTTTACAAGACTCTGAGAGGGAAACTTCTCATTCCAACAAAGAGAAGTGGTCACTGAAGACAAAGCTGAAATACTTGGCCACACATCAGCCTTTTGTGCTGCATCAGCTGGAGCTCTCAGCTGAGCACCCCTGGTGCTTTCTCTCAGACTAGCAGGAGCTCCAGCACTGGTTTGTTCTGCTCCAAAGGTGCATTCTGACACAGCAAAACCAACCCAAACTAACCCAAACTCCTATCAGTCCAAACTGTGTCAGGTTGCCACGGTCAGAAGATTTAGCATTCAGTACCTGGTCACCCGCCATGAGCTCTGATGCCACAGCAGCTATCCCACCTGAAGCAAACTGTCTTGCCCTGACCGCAGGTACCCTGAACCCCACTGGACCCCTCCACATCACCCCTCAGGCGGGTTTAGTGCACTGAGGAAAAAAGCGTCACCTTAAATGAACATGCTCAGAACATAACCTGGCTTAACTCGAAAGGATGTGGATGAGCACAGCCTCAGGAGGAGCTCCTGACTCATCACACCTCCTCCCTGCTCGGAAAACAAGGGAGAAAGAGGCTCCCTGAGCAGGAGAAAGAAGTGCCCCTGTCCTTGGGATGGGACCCCCAGCCCTGCAAACACCCTCACTGAGGGTTAAACCAGATTTCAGCAGTTTGAAACTAATAAAAACACCGGAAAAAAAAAAGGTATTTTTAATCTGAAAAGTCTGGACGTCCACAGCTCACATGTACTGCGCCTCTGCAAACTGCTGATGGCTTCCAACAGTAACAATGCTTATCATCAAGAGAAACCATACGCTGCGAGGCCTGTGGAGGTAAAAACAACAAACCCCCTCACTTATTTCCTTGACAACTGTTATTTATTGTTATTTTCCAGTGTTTACTTGCCAGATGGATGGTGTGTTTTCTCAGCCTGTTCAAATACAAAAAGGTTTAACATATGCTTACTTTTTAGCCTCAAGTGGGGTCAGAATGACCCTCCTCTATTTCATTCTGATTCTTTCCACACCACTGACATCAGCCTCAGACCAAATCCCTCAGAACTGCTTTTCCTAATCTATTAACAGCTGGGCTTTTTAACAGCTCATGGAAAGAGATATCCTACCAAAAATAATCAAGTTTTAGCCTGGTACAACTCTGGGTTTGAGAGATCACACACTGATCTTAGAAAGAATTTAAAAGACAGTCTGATCCTGCAGCAGTCCTCTGGGACTCCTCACTGGCAGTGACCCAGAGCTTGCTTCAGCCTCCTGAAAGCCCCACGCTTCAACAGGAAGAAGAGCCTGTTCCATTTCCCACGGACCTCAACCCCAGCTGAACCTCTCAGGAGCACTGCCCTTGTTGGCAGCCCCACCTTGTGGCTGCACCGCAGGAGGTGCCTTTGGGAACTGCTCCCCCCCACAACCCGTCCACATACCAGCAGCGGCCCAGCACTGGGGTCTTGGGGGGAGTAGCTCCCGGGGTAATCATCATCTTCCTCCTCCTGTATTTGCTGAAAAGTCCGCTTCAAAGACTTCTTCTCCTCTGCAACTAGACACACACAAGCAACTCATGTGGATGCTGCATCTACCCACCCCAACCATCTCTGCTCCAAAACCACGGCAGCAGACGCTCTGATGGTTAAGCTCTCTACAGAGAAGGCTGGCCACAGGTGGCCTCTAAAGCTGGCACTGTATTCCAAACGCTCAAATGCAGAACAGCAATAAAGGTTGATTTTGACACACGCACAATAAACTGACAAGGAGGCATCAAAAGTCACACTCATGGAAAGGCCTGAGCTGTTCTCTCATTTAAGAGATACCACATCAGTATCTCTTATTACCCAGACAAGAACTAAGTTTCTCATCAAGTGAAGCCCTGCACACAGCAGTTCTTAAAACATTTGTATTTCTTCATTCATTTTTCCACAGGGAAAGGTCTGTTACCCTCAGAAGGGTTTGATTCTGTGTGAAGTTGCAAAGGTAACAGTAGCAGTGCTGGTTGATGCCAAAGGGAGGGGGACACGGAGCAAGGGGAGGCTGCCAATTCCCCAGGAAATCCCTGCCGGTTCCTTGGACACACAGTCTCATTTCCTTAGATTACACCTTCAACACTTGTGAAACACTTACTTGGGTACCTTAAATTAACAGCTTCAAATCCTCAGTTCACCAGTTCAATATGAACTCAGGCATGTAAATCCTGCCCTTTCATGACAAGCAGGCTCCTATGCACTGCACCCAGGCCACAGGGAAACCCAGCACCAGCTCTTGGGTGTACACAAGTACAACTTCCACCTTCTGCTCCCACCTCTCAGAGCAGAGACCCCCTGTGCTGGTACAGAGCAGGTCAGTCGGTCTCCAGCTCAAGCTGAAAGCCTCAACTGTGTGTTGCTGAAGCAGCACCCACCAGTAACTGCCTGGAGCAGGCCGTGAAAACCCACAAAGCTACAGCCATAGGTGAATGTCTTCACATGAACATCTCGTACTACTGCTCATCTCCACGTCCATTCTATGTTAATTACCATCTCCAGCAGACACATCTGCCTTTTTCACCGCCTCAGAACAGCCCAGGGGCACTTCACTGATGCCTGAGCCAACTCTCACGAGTATCGCACCTCCACGGGGAGCACAGCAAAGCGTGGTCAAAGCAGCAATGTGGCTTCAGCTAACCTGAAGACTGACACTTCCTTCAGCTGCAGAGTAGCCAAATATCCCCTTGACCAGAACACTTGATTTTCAGTGACTCTCCCATAGGCTATTCATGCTACTCCTCCCTCTCTTCACTACAGCCCTACCAGTTAAACCCTTTCAGGCAAGAAGCAGGATCTGCCACAGCCACATAAAAGCACAGTAAATGCAAGAAGCTTCTGCTCAGTTCCTCACATCTGTCTCATGAAGCAGTAAGGTTCCAACCACAATTTGTAACGATATTAAATGATGCAAAGTTCTTGTCTTCCCCAGCTGACGTCAGCTGGTGTAAGGAAAGCGACCAGCCCAGCTCCTGGGCACACATTCCTGCCTTCAGTTATTAAGAAGTCCTTGATGAATCATAATAAAATATAGTAACTGCACAAAATAAACCAGGAGGAGAATGAAAGCACCAACAATACTGAATAACCCATTATAATGACTGGCTGACCACTCCCAGAGGCAGTGGGACACTTTCAACCCTGGAGGCAGACGCAGCAGTTCCATGCACCCCACTTACCGGTGCTCACACCGAAGGGCAGCCCTGGAGCAGTGTGGCTGCAGGAGCAGCAGCAGACACAACCTGCAGTTCAACTTACTGCCAGTCACAAGGCCACACATCTGCAAACTGGAACTGTGGGTTTGAGGAAAATCAGCCTCCTCTGAAACCAATCCTGAGGACTCCCCATGAGCAGCTCTGGCAGCAGCTCAGCTGCAGGAGCCCTGAGCTCCATTCCTCACAGGACACCCAGTGAGACATGGACCAGTGTAAAACCAAAGCACGCAACAAAAGCAACACACATTTACCTTTAGTCTGGGGGCTATTGGAGTCTTCCATCGACAGCTTCAGCTGCTGTATGAACTCACTGCCATACACACTCCTCTCCTGCCAGATGTTAAGCAATCGTTCCAAGGGCTTTTTGCAGCCCTCATCTGCTTCCCTGTTCAAAGATTAGAAAATAATTATAACTCAACTGAAAAACGTTCCTTATGTTTGAGGAGAGCATCTTCTAAACTAGCAGCTGCAATAGCTGCACGTCTGGAGAGAATCCCTCTTATCGCCCAAGACAAACTGTGCAAAACACATTCGTGGCTGATTTTCCCCTTTCACTGGAACCAAAGATTGCCTGAAAGCACCCCTCATCCCTACCCAGAGTAAGGGCAGGGAAAGTACTGAAGGAAGAGCTCGCCATCATTCAGAATTTGCAGGAAGAGTTATAAACCACCCCCAAGTTGACACATTTACAATCCAGTGTTTTAACTTCCAACAGTTGTTTCAGTCACTAACATCCCAATTAAAAGCAGGTTGTTTGGCTCATTAGGCACTTAAACGCAGCCTTACAGCACACTCACCCAGGAAGCACACCACTAAACACCCCAACACGGGGCTGTTTAGCTGAGATAATGGGAATTATTGTGCCATTTAGAGACAATCTTAGCTACAGCACAGTCCATTTCTGACAGGATGGAAGCTGCATCGCTGCTTCCCTTTCAGGCATCAACTTTTTCCTTCCTCTAGTGAGGAGACCAATGAGCAGTAACATAAAACAGTACAAAAGAGGTTGCTCCAACCGATGACTGAGGAGAACCCAGTGACCCAGAAGAGCAGCTCCTTCCTAGCCCCCTGACAACGGGGGAGCTGTTCACTGCGTGGCACAGTGAGCTGCAGGCAGCGACCAAGGGGGAGCTGACAGAGCCCGAGCCTACCCCGAGGAGTATTAACACCGAGCAGCTCCGAGCCACGGAGCTCAGAGACTCCAACCTCCACCGCACAGAGGGCACCAGCACCCCCGGGACCGAAACACAGCAACAGAACAACAAAATCCAACTGAATTAAACTCTGGTTAACAGGAAAACGTTATCTCTAGAGGGGACAGAGGAAGAAACACATAATCCAGCAACATACCTGGCAACGTGAGAAAAAGCATCCACAAGAACAGACTCGAACTCTCTGGTGAATTCAGGGCCTTTCCTCTTACTGTTCTGGATGACATCGTTTGCCAAGTACAGGAAAGTCAGTTTCCTACTCGATTTTGCTGGGAAAGGGAAAAAAAAAAAGAAGGCAGGGAGCGGGAAGAGGGAGTTTGTGTTCATTTTGCGCTTTCACCCAGACTCATTGACACGGTTTGCAAAGTTGCTGAAAGCTTTTCAGTCTAAACCCAAAGTTTTATTTCCACGTCCCCAAAGCAGAGCCCAGGCCAGGCCCTGAAGTCAAGTGCTTCTTGATCCCCTTATTTCTGCTTGGGGGTTCTTCGGAGGAAAGCTGTGTAAGAAACGACTTTTACACATGATTAAAACGAGCTGCATCGACCCACCAATGAATTCACAGAACAACAGACTTCCATTAATTAACTTCAGGGCGAAAATCTCGGTACAGAAGCACCTGATT